ATAACAGTGTTTTTCGCTGTGGTTCTATTTGTAGGTCGTCACAGCAATCCCTGAGAGAGTATGTTTAAGGAATACTGTGCCTTCCAAAACAAAACCCGGAACGGGCCTAGGAGGACGCACGGGAAATAGAGTCCACACTCATCTGGAGGTCAGAAGTCCCCCGGTTGGATGCGCGGTTCTTCCTGCTCCCGCCTCATCGGGCCTGATCTCACCGGTTCACACAGCCATTCACCAGACCTCCGTCTTAGGCCTCATAGCGCCCCATCCCCACGTGCCACGCCACAGCAGCGCAAAGAGGTTACATTACCTGAACGAAAGGGCGGCGAGACAGTCCAAAGACAGCGCCGAGGGGAAAGGCAGCCATTGATCGGGAACTTCTAGGCCCCAAAGAAAGAGCAGTGAAGACTTAGTAAATAGACACCCGTAGCCGACGGCTATGTGCCACACAGCGTAAGCACTTTACCACTCTCATTTCTTCATGGATTCTTGTTGTTTGTTGTTTTTATCCACATGCACCCTACTCTGGCTACAAGTACTGTTACAGGCAAGCATCACCACATCTGCTTAATTCATATTTTTTTCTTTATGATAAATAATAAGAACAAGTTTTCTATTAACTGACTCCGTTTTACACATGAGAGCTGAGGCATTAAACTCACAAGCTAGAGTTTAGAAATGAGAGACCCAGAGGATGGAATTCAGTCAGCCAATCTCTAGGCTTCATTTTTTTTTTTTTTTTTAACTATAAAATTGTCACAGCAGCCGGGTGAGCGGTGATGGTGCATGCCTTTAACCCCAGCATTTGGGAGGCAGAGGCTGGTGGATCTCATTGAGTTTTAGGCCAGCCTTGTCTACAAAATGAGTTCTAGGACTGCCAGCACTGTTACACAGAGAAACCCTGTCTTGAAAAACCATTTTAAAAAAGTTGTAATAGCTATGGGTTTAGGGCTGTTTAGGTTGGATGACAAAACATATAGATTGTCTTAAGAGTTTTGTTTTTCTTTTTTTTTTCCCCTGTTTTTTCTTCTTGGTATCTTTTCAACAGAGGAGTCTTTAGTGTGGAGATGTTTTCTTAAGATTTATTTTTACTTTTTAACTGTGTGTGTGTGTGTGTGTGTGTGTGTGTGTGTGTGTGTACGTGTGAGTGCAGACGACCACAGAATCCAGAAGAGAGCATTGGATTCCTCCAGAGCTCATCACAGGCAGTGGGTGCTGTGAACCCATCTGGGTCCTCCACAAAAGCCTTAGGCTCTCCCACAGGCTGACCCATCTCTCCAGTCCTGAGACTGGTTAGTTTGTTGGTAGCAGACTAGGAGAGAGAAGCACCGAACAGGAAGGAGAAGGTGTGGCCCTGGTATCGGTGAGAAGATGGCAGTAAGGGTGGGGGGTGACAAAAGAGTCATCTAGAGCTCGTCGAAGGTTAAAATCCTCATACTTTTGATATAGAGTGAGAGGAAAAGCTTGTGAAGGTGTAGACGTGTAGACGAGAATAGTCAAAAAGAAGAGGTTAAATATCATTTTTAAATTTCCACTTTCAAAACTTGAGTAGGTGTAGGCTTATTTATTTATTTCTAAGTCGGAGAATTCAGAAAGGTTTCCAGAGTAGGTTCCAAGGTAACAGAGTTCAGGCAGAACTACTAGCCTAGTATATGTGAGGCTCTGAGTTGCGTCCCCAGTACTTTAAAAAAAAAAAAAAAATCCGTTTGAGAAACAATTAATTCGAGGTTTGCCCTAAGACATTTGATGAAACCACCAATGCTTTGCTCAGAAATGGAATCCCCATGTATGACACGTGAAAACTGGCTAAAACCAGTGTAATAATTTCTTAACTTGTCTTAGTCATTTTTACAGAATGATAGCTCAATGGCAAAACATTTTATTTAAGATGGTAACTGAGGAAAGGGATGTTAGCTCTGTGAAGGAACCCTTGAACTCATAGTGCCAGCCAGAGGAGGTGGTTAAGCAAATGTGACAAACAGACCAGCATCAAGTACTGGAAGAGCAAGGGTTTTATTTTTTGCTCCTCATAAAAATCCCTGTGGATAGCATAAATAGTAGGCACTTAAATTTGTACAGTGTTTTACTTTTTAAAAGAATGATTTCCTCACCCATTATCTCCTTTATAGTAATTTTGTGAGGGTAGGCAGGGTAGTTGTTATGCCCATTTACAGTTAAAATTAAAGGTGAGAAAACGTGACTTGCTGAGGACTTCTAGCACTTATTGTGTAGCCCAGGCTGGCCTCCAACTTGTGATCCCCCTACCTATGTCTCCTGAGTGCTGTTATGTCAGCTGTCTGTAACTGTTGTTTGTGATTATGTATTCAATTGTTGCCATAAAGCCTGTTGGTTTCTTGGAATTTCTCTTAGAAACTAGTTTCATTTTTGTAAGAACTTCTAAATTCAGTTTAACAGTTCCATGATCTGTTTATTTTAAATACTGAAAATCAAGCAAAAAATAACTAGAAGACATTAAATGGGAACAGACGCATTTTTTTTTTCAACCTTGAAGGAAGGACATCTCATAGGAATATTCAGAATGGAAATCAGGGACAGAACTGAGACAGGAAAGACGGAAAGATGATAGGAAGGCTACCCTGTAAAGGACGTATTATATACAGGGGGTTGCTACAAAAAGTCTTCTTGGAGTCAGGCTAGAAAGGAAGATAGAAACTTAAGTCAAGTGGCTCTGAAATGGGAAAGTGTTACTGAGTAGGGAAGGTGGCCTATACTGTGGACATGTATTGTAGGTTCTAACTTTTCCTATGGGATATGACTGTATGCATTAATGTTGTGTTCGTAGGTCATATCCTCTTAATGTTCTTTCTCTTTGATTGTCATTTGGACTTTAGTAATCATACAGAACTCAGTCAAAATTTCATAAGCATTTACCTCATCCAGAAGGGTCCTAACTGTTAACATTTAATTTCATTAAAATAGTTTTATTATAATTCCACTTCTACTAAATGATCATTATTTAGTGAATTAAATCTTAGATTTTTAAAGAAATCATCCTCTGGTCTCTTAATCTAAGATGAAAGTTAAGAGCTATGTTCTAGCCCCATGCTCAGCTAAGAATCAATGAATTGTTTGAGCTGTGGTTTGGAGTGATGGTCCAGCAGTTAAGAGCACTGGCTGCTCTTCCAGAGGAACCAGGTTCAATTCCCAGAACCTATGTGGTGGTTCACAACAGTTCAGTTGAGGGGATCTAATGTCCTCTTCTAACCTCCAAGGGCATCATGCATGTACATGGTAAACAGGTATACATGGAGACAAAGCGCCCATACACATTAAATAAAAACATTAACAAAAGGCCATCGGGGACTGATTCTTAGCTGATTTGTTTAAAAATCTCAAATTGTGAATATAACTGACGATTTTCTTACCATCATAAGCCAGCAATTATTCCATTAAGTGAAATCCTAATTGACATTCTTTACATAAATGTTAATCTGTAGTTTAGAGTTGGAATTTCAAGTACTGACAGATTTGCTAGCTTGCAGTCAAAAACAAAACAAAACTTTAGGTACACTAAGAAAGGTATCAGCATTTAGATGAGACTACTACTTTGTGTTTCTTCTCTTGTGTGTTTGTACACACACACACACACACACAGAGAGAGAGAGAGAGAGAGAGAGAGAGAGAGAGAGAGAGAGAGAGAGAGAGAGAGAGAGAGAGAGAGAGAGAGAGAGAGAGAGAGAGAGAGAGAGAGAGACCAACCCCATTCCCCAGCCAGGAAAGGAACTGAAAACCTTTGCCCTATGCTGCTGATTTCTGGTGAGGTTGTGTTCTCAGAGGACTGTGCAGAACAAAGCCCTGGACTCTGTAATGTGTCAACTCTCCAGAGGCTAAGTAACAGAAACCAAGAATGGTGTTGTCATTTGTATAGACCTAGCTGATAAATAGCCTTAAAAACGCTGGGTATTGGAGGTGCACACCTTTAATCCCAGCACTCAGGAGGCAGAGGCAGGGGGATCTCTGTGAGTTTGAGGCAGCCTGTCTATCGAGTGAGTGCTAGGACAAGCCCGAAAGCTACATAGAGAAACCCTGTCTTGAAAAACCAAAATAAATAAATAAATGAGTAGCCTTTAAAACTATTTTTAAGGAAGTTGGTCTACTTGCAAATTTGCTTCCTAGATCATGAATAATAGTCTATTCCTGGGTGATACAGACCATCTTAACCCTTTATGAACCAGTTAGTGAAAATTCTGAGTGCTCTAGGTAAGTGTTCAAACACAATGCTAAGTACATTGACTTATTTAAACTTTTTATTATGACAATTGACATATATTAAGTGAAAGAAATGACAAGTATTATAATAAAACATTTGGGAAAAAAAAGTTACAGTTAGGCCAAGAGCTGTAAAATGGCTTAGGCCTGGCTTATTACACTGAGAATTCTGATCAGACTGTACTGAGACATTCAACATTTCATTAACGAAAATATTGGCACCAGCCACAACATATTTTGGTTGTCACAGGAATATTTTATTTCAACAACTGTGCACTGCAGTCCTAACACTCTTGAAGCTTTGCACTCTCAGGGCCTGCCATGCTTCTCACACACAGACTTGACTTGTGTTGTCAGAATCGAGTTCCCAGTCTTCAGATCCCTTTGCACTTAGTTTACACACTCGGGACTACACTATGGCAGCACACTCCAGCTTCTCGTGGACTGACAGCATGGTCCTGATTATATCAAGAGTTAGTTTGATGCTAATCTTGGAGCTTCTGCTATAGCTGTCATCTAAAAACAGTATTTTGAGAACTATTCCAATGTTTTAGATTTTATGCATCGGGAAAATAAAGTATTTCATATAAGCACATCTGAAAATCCAAGACATGTTCTGATTGGATGCTTCCTGGAACTAACTGAGTTACTACTTTATAAAATCAAAGTGAGATTCAAAAATAAGACAATTTACAAAGTCTTATCTGGAATTTGTACTCTTCACATTGAAATTCATGGCCCCTAAGCAAAGAAAATTATTTCCCAAATTAGCTGACAGGTGAAGGTTACTCAGAAATTATGACACATTTAGATGAATTCAGTTCCATGGAAGAATAGTTATGCTTTACAGGTAGTAAATTAGAATGCTAAAATTATCAGATAGCAAAAAAAGTACTGGCATTTAAAAAGGTGTGGCGACAGCATGGTAAAATGTGCCATGAAGACTGCTGCCAGCAGTTCTAAGAGATTGCAAAATTACTTACCAAATGAGGGATTGAAAGTTGAACGTGCTGTCCCTTCCTGCCAAGTTTCAGCAGGTTATTTGTGTGGAGTTGGGTAAGTCTATGGAATAGTCAAATGATTCTAGTTTTTTCCTTTTACACATAAGAAACTAGCCCTGCCCCATTCCCACCTCCATCTCAACATAGGACATCATTCTTAAAGTGCACATGGATCCTCTTGGGAGTTTTAGGCAAGGTACTATCTAGATGCTATGATCAAGA